AAGATACGATGTAAGGTATTTTATGCAAAGATACATACTCTGAATGTACATGATTCATTATGTTACTCACTCTTCTAATTCTAGTCTGTTCTTTATAAACTATTAAGATAGTAATTTTTGAAAAGCCAGCACTAACCCACCAAGATGGTTTCAGGTAATTATTAGCATAGACTCTCAATAACATACCTCAACTGCCCCAGCCTTTCCAAGGCAGTGGTACTCCCCCAAGGTTACTGGCATTTGTGGTCTGAATGTTCCCGATTTGTGCCAAGATATAGAGCATAAGTTTAAAATCTTTCTTACTACCTTCCCTGTCATCTGTGTCATACAGCCTACAGCACCTCCCAACTTCCCTACTCCCCCATACTCCCACCCTAGACATAAGTGCCAGCTCATCACAATTTTCAATCTCCCTTAGGGCCTGATCAAATTTTATTGTTCAGATACTGTGTTTCATATTGTATTTGTTTTAAGACTTAATTTTTAACAACGCTTTTATGACAGAATTGGCCCTGTGTCTTCACTGAGCAGCAAGGTAATTTCAAACAAGTGCTCCCCCATGCATTATAGGCTGTGCATGCAGGATGCCACAACCTCATACTGGGTGGAAGAGAGGGATAGCAGAGCTCAGACAAGGTGGTGTCTACTCCAAAGGGGTTTGTGTCCTGGATGTCAATGGGAAAACATTACAGAAATCTGGTATCTAGGTGTTTTTAATTGTAGCTATATCACTTTTGATTTCTTCCTGGTTTTTGCATAGGTTGTTGTTTTTCTTGTCCATCTGGTTTATGAACTGTACAAATACTCTGAATTATTTTTCTGTCATGTTGCATGCTTCTGTTTCACTTATTTCTTTTCTTATCAATTCCTCTTTTTCTTTCTTCTGGGGATTGTTTTGTTGTCTCCCCATTCTAACTATCACTAGAAGGTTCAAATGCTGAGTTGCAGAGGCCTGGGCCATGTGCAGTGGGAGCTTCGCAACACCTGAGTATCACTGAAGAGCTCTGACACCAAGACGTGTGGCTGCCTTGGGTTGGTGGGAGCCACGCTCTCCCAGGATCAGAGTCACTGGCACTCAGTGTGGTCTCGTGCACACACCTAGAATCAGGGACCCTGCCTGCACCATGCTGAAAAAGAGACCCTGCTGGCGTGTGCCAAAAATCAGAGTTCCATAGCATGTGCCAGGAGTCTCCTTGTGCCCACGAGTATCAGAATCTCTGTTTCTTGGTGCACCCTCACACGGAGAATTAGGGTCTCCCTGTGCGCATGCACTGAGAATTGGAGTCACTAGATCTTAGTGTGTGTTCACTGGGAATCAGGGATCCCACGTGTATGCAATGAGAAACAGAGTCAAGTCACTGGTGTTCAGTGCTGCCTCTCACATGGAGAATCAGGGTCCCCGGTCTGCTTCGGGGACCGGGTTGCACAGCCACCTTGTGTCAGCAGGACGTCCACTCCTGCACTGCGGGAAACAGACTTCCATGTGAGCTTGCCCAAAATCAGTCAGGTGGCAAAGCCGCCCTGTGTGGCTGTGGGGTCTGGTCGCGCGATTGCATGCTGCGGGAAACAACCTCCCAGTGTCTGTGCACCCAGGCTCAAATTCAGGTAGCACAGCCGCCCTGTCTGGGGGTGGGGTCTGGTTACTTGAGTGTATGCTGCGGGAAACAGCCTCCCAGTGTCTGTGTGCCCAAGCTCAAACTCAGGTAGCGCAGCTGCCCTGTGTGGGCAGGAGGCCTGCTTGCGTGGAGCGGATCTAGCAGTTCCTATGCCGCTGCAGCAGGCATGCGTGGAGGGGGATGGGCTCTGTGGCTCAGAAATCTGCGGCTGGGATGTCTGGATTCTTGGTGTCTGTGGGTCTTCAGATGTGGTCACAGGTCTTTGTCCTGTGGCTGTAGGGTCCCGATTTGTGGTGGTGAGGCTAGAATCCTAATCTCAAGCAGTTTTGTTTTTCAAGATGGCGTGGTCTCTGTGCCCACATTGGCCACCCCCAGAATGTCCTGTCATTATTTCTTCAAATAGATTTTCTAATCCTTGCTTCTCTTCTTGTCATTCTGGCACCCCTTTTATGCATATGTTACTTCATTTCATGTTGTCCCAAAACCCCCTTAGACTCTCCTCATGCTTTCTAATTTTTTTCTCCAATTGCTGTTCAGATTGGGTGTGTTTTTCTGCCCTGTCTTCTAACTTGCTAATTCAGTCCTCACCTTCTTCTATTCTACTACTGAAACTTTCCATTGTGTTTTTTATTGTAGCTATATCATTCTTCATTTTCTCTTGATTCTTACATAGGTTGTTGATTTTCTCATGCAGCTGGTTTACAAACTGTATGAACCTTACTCTGAATTCTTTTTCTGACATTGCATGCTGCTATTTCATTTAATTCCTTTTCTGGCAATTTCTCCTTTTCTTTCCTTTGGGGGTTGTTTCTTTTTCTCCCCATTTTTGCTTTCACCAAGGGGTCCATGTGCCGAGTCATGTGGGGCCTGTGTCTGAATCAGTGGGCTTGGCGGGAGGGTCGCTCACTCCAGGACTCACCAGAGGGCCCAGGTGTTGGGTAGCTGGGTAGGGCCTGTGGCTGAAGTGGCAGGATTGGCAGGAGGGAGGCATACTCTGTGGCTCACAAGATCCTGTGGCCAGGGAGTTTGGAGTGCCAGTGTCTGTGGGCCTGCAGATGAAGTAACAAGTCTTTGGCTGGAGTGGCTATAGGGTCCTGTATGGTGTCTGAGGCCAGTCTGGGTGGTGGTAAGGATGGGATCCTAGTCACAAAAGCTCTCCCCTTCAAGATGTGTCATTTCTGTGCCAGAGCCAGCCGCTCCAGTAGTGCTTACAGGGGTAGCAGTGCCCCCCCCCACCTATTATAGCCTGGTCTGCCAGCCCTCAAGACTCTGGCAGGATCTAACTGTCCCTCACTCACACTCACACACACACACACACACACACACACACACACACACACCACACGTCCACACACTCCCCTTTTGCTCACTCATTCACTCAGTCACACTTTCTTCCCTCACTTCCATCCTGCCAGCTGCCATCTTAACTCTCCCATCTATGCTACTTTCAACAATAAAGATAAAAACTTTTAAAAAGTGTAGGGCCTCAGGTCCACAGAACAGAGCGTAGAGATGCTTCCCAGAGCCAAGTGGTATTTCAGGGCTTCACATCTGGGCCCATGAAACTCTGGGTTTTATTGTAATGAACAGGACCTCAGGTATGCAGAGGGAGGACCCAGGGCCTGCCAGAGTCAAGATGAGGACCTGGAGGGAAGACTGAGTGGATCCAGGAACCCCCATCTAGAGGCCTCACAACCAAGCTCACTCTTGGTTTTAGCCCTGGTAGGCTCCATGAATGCTTTCATGAATAATGTTCACTGACTTTCACCCCAGAAGTCTGAGAGAGGTGAGGGCCAAATCAGAGAGGCTGGCTACAGGCCCATAGAGGGAAGAGGCCCAGTCTTGCATAGAATCAAATTATTGCCCTAAAAGAGGACTGGGGTCTCCCACAGAATCCAGAATTGCCTCTGCTGTCAGCACCCTGAGTCCTGGAGGCTGGGCTGTCTGGCTGAGTACCATTTCCCAGAAACCACCAGCCCCCATCACTTCAGAGAACTCTGGAATCAAGGACAAGGTCAGAAAGGAGCAAGTTGAGGTTTTTAGTCATGGCCCAGTCTTTACCTGGAAACAAGGTGAGGATGAGAGGAAGGGTTAAACACTCCAAGGAATTTTTCAGTCCCCTGCTGGTAGCCTGGCTATCCCCTGGCTTGATTGCCTGATGTAATATCCACAGACTTCACTTGAGGTCTGTGAGAGGCCTTGATCTGTGAGGACCTGGGTCTGAGAAAAATGTGAGGTCAAGGGAGGGAAGTGTCTCACGATCTTCCAGGTGACAATGTGCTGACCTTTTGTGAAACCTGAATGTGCACTGTCTTCTCAGAAAGGGAAGGATGGCACAAAGTCCAGATGTCCCCTGTTCTCAGACCTGAAAGAAGCATGTTGGCTTTAAGTGGCATGCTCTTTTCTATCATGGGCAGGAAAGTAGGGAGTCATCAAAGAGGAGAGGTTTTGGTGGGAGAGATCAAGAGTTCCAAGAGGAGGGCCTGGAAGAAGGGCAGGTCCTGGCAGGAGTAAAAGTGAATAATCTACAGGGGTATTTGGGCAATCAAATCAGGATAGAGAGCCCTGTCTCTGCTGCTAGACTTTTGTGATGTTGACAGGGGTAGGGATGATTTGGGTCATGGATATGAAGCTGCTTCACTTTGTTCTGTAGTCTCTTAGGGAGGTGAGGACCTTGGTCTGAGAGGACGACATCAGGTCATTTGAGGAAGTACTCCTGTTCAACTGAGAGCAGAGTCCTACGTCCTGCCAAGAGTCAAGGTGAGGTCCCTAAAGGTGGAGGGAGTGTAGCCCAATCTCCAGAACAAAGTGGGTGCCCCCCCCAAAATATTGTCTTTGCCTATTGTCAGCCCTGGAAACCCTGTGCAGGGCTTTCAGGCTGGGCCTCTTTCCATTTTCACCTCCATAGACCCAGGAATGGCAGGACCTTGGTCTGCTGATCTGGACTCAAGCTAGGTGAGGCAGGAAGCCAGGCCCCAGAAGGGGCCATGGTGAGGACTGAGGGAACCCTTCACACCAGGACATGTGGAACCCATAGATTATGGCCACACATTGTTGTCTCTTGATGGCAATGATAAGCCCCTATACAGGTGCTACGAAATATGAGGACCTCTCACTTCTCTTAAGTTTCAGGGATATGTGTTCTTGTTGTAAGAGTGTGATATCAGGAAAGCAGGGGGTGGGGTGGGAGAAGCAGGCCTTCAGTGGGTACAGAAGGATCCTTCCCCCATAAAGAGACTTTATACCACCCCACCCTACAGGACCACTGTCAGACCCAGTATCTCCAAATGTGCTAGCTGCACCCTGAGGAGTCTTCTTACTTTCACCTTCAGGATCTTAGGGGAAAAGTTGCCCAGGAGGAGAGACCCCTGTGAGACCTAAGAACACCCTTATAGAGTAGCCCTAAAATTCTCCATTTTCAGAGCCACTGAGGGTGTGTTTCTCAGCTGAGGATACTCACATTCCCCCTCTTCTTTTTTCATCCTCATAGGAGGCGTGAGGATACTTTCCCCAATTGATTTTTAGAAAGTGGAAGGGAGGGGGTAGAGAGAGAGAGAAAGAGAGAGAAACATTGATGTGTTAATGACACATTGGTTGCCTACCACAAGCGCCCAGGCCTGGAGCAGAGATTGTAACTGCAACCGAGATATGTGCTCTTGACCAGGAATTAAATGCTCTGGTGGGCAAGCTAATCCTCTAACCACTGAACCATGCCAGCAAGGGCCTCAGGTTCCCTCTCTTTATCCAACTTGTTGTTCCCCATGGCCCATTTCCTGCCCACAGTCTGGTTGATGCCCAATACGAATCATCATGCCTCTTGGTTAGAAAGGGATCTCTGTAATCTCAAGGAAGACCATCAGGATTCAAGGGAGAATCAAAGCCAGTTTGAAGTGTGGCTGTTTGGGAATGAGGACTTGGTTGTGTCTGCCTCCTTATCTTTGTCCCTCTCTGCCTTGTTCCCATGCAGCCTAGAGAAGGTGTGTGCTGCTGAGACACCAAGTCCTCCCCAGAGCCCTCTGGGTTCCTGACTCTGCCTCTGCCATGGCGGCCCCTGTGTGTAGCCAGTCTGAAGATGAGGGCTTCAGCAGCCAAGATGAACAGGAGACAAGCAGCAGAGAGGACTCTGGAGATGCTGAGTCGTCACTCCATGATGCCCTATATTTGAAGATGACTGAACTGGTGGAGTTTCTACTCCTGAAGTATCGTGCAAAGCAGCCAACTACTAAGGCAGAAATGCTGAGTAGAGTCATAAGAAAGTATCAGGACCACTTCCCTGAGATATTCAGCCTAGCCTCTGAGTGCATGCAGCTCCTCTTTGGCATTGATGTGAAGGAAGTGGACCCCAGCAACCTCACCTATGTCCTGGTCACCACTTTGGGGCTCACATATGATGGGATGGTGTCCAATGGGCAATCCATGCCCAACACTGGCCTCCTGGTCATGCTCCTGAGATTGATCCTCGCAGAGGGCGACTGTGCCCCTGAGGAGAATGTCTGGGAAGCACTGAGTGTCATGGGTGTGTGTGATGGGAAGGAGCATTGGATCTATGGGGAGCCCAGGGAGCTCCTCACCAAAGTTTGGGTGCAGGAAAAGTACCTGGAGTACCGACAGGTGCCCAACAGTGATCCTGCACGCTATGAGTTCCTGTGGGGTCCCAGGGCCCACGCTGAGACCACCAAGTTGAAAGTCCTCAAGTTTTTTCTCAGGGATTATAGAAGGGATCCCAGGTCTGTCCCATCCCTGTTTCAAGAGGCTCTGAGTGATGAGGAAGAGGGAGCCTAAGCCAAGTTTCTCCCAGTCATGTTTCAGGCCCACATCTGACATGATGTGAGGCCAATTCTTCACTGTGTTTGAGAAGAGGGTAGTCAACATTCTAGGTAGTGAGGCCCAGGGAAAGTTGGAGGAATAAGGGCTGTAGTATCTTTGGGTTTAGAAATTTATCCTTGATTTGTGTCGAAATTTTCAAATGTTGTTCCTTTCCATAGAACGTTTCATAAGCTTCAGTATCTAAGTTTGTGAATGACATTGACCATACATTTATTTGTACTATCTAGTTCAAAAGAAAGAGTTTTGCTATTGTGTAACACAAATTGGGACACTTTCCATCCTACTCTGTGATCCCAAACTAGATAATATGGCATTGGAAAAGGATTTCCTTGGAAATGTGAAAGAACTCATCGGTACAAACAATGGGTTCAAGAAACAAAAATAAAAGCAAAAGGTTGTTAATTCTTACTTCTGGTCCTTTTTTGTCTCTCTTTCTATGAAACAAACTGTATAAGGATCCTTGGATTTGCTTGGTTCATTCAAGAAAGTGGAGGGATTTCATCTGAATAAAGATGGTTCAGTGGTTCATTTAATCCCCAAACTGATCCTATGTCCTCTGGAAGGCCCTGTATTAGTAGTGGGGACACCAACATAAGCAGGGCACACCCACCCACAGGATGATAGCTTAGGAGCCACAGTCATATGAGGAAAGTGGTGAGGTGTCCCCTAAGTTCTATAGAACAAGTAAAAGAAGGGGAGAGGCAGTGGGGCTCCAGGGGACAGCACTCAAGTGTAAATGGCTTGAGCCAGGGCAGTTTGGGGCTTTGGGAAGCTGTGTTTCCCTTGTGGGGGTTGATTGTAAAGAAGCTGGGTGGTGGCAGTGGCCAGACTCTGTAGATGGTATATATTGGATGTAAACGTCTGAAATGGAGAATTGCTCTGAATTTCCTTCTGGATCATGTATAAATCAGAGAGAAAAATCCACCCCAGTCAGGAAGGGAAGGGTGTCTTTCCTGTGCTTCTGTCTCATTTAAGAAGAACACAGTGAAGAGATAGGTGTTTTATCCCCATTAACTACAAGGATTTCCTGAGCAATAAGGATCATGCTCCTTAAACCAATGCCCCTAAGTTACTGGACATGCACTCTTTTTTTTCTGGCCTGGGAAAGCCACGGCTGATTCCATTGAATTGACAATTTATTACAGTTACCTTCAGTTTACCTCGGCCAACTATAAGCAAGTGCTGGATATTAGTGAGATGACATGAAGGAAAATAGGTGGTTTTAATGGAAGGGTAGCTTCAAACAGGAAAGAAGTTGGTATTGGACTGGAATTCTGGGGGCTTTGTGTTGATTGCACCCTGTTTTTGAGAGTCCACACCCACAAAGAATAGTCTATCCTTTAGGAGGGAATTTCACCAAGCAGCCGTTTTGGCTCATTTACTATTTAGTTTCTAATTGGGCTCTGAGATCTTTGATTGACCAGAGAAACACATTTTCAAAGGAGAGATTGGTAGCGTCGGGGGTCAAAATTATACTAGAAATAACTACTAACTACTGTAAATCCAATATACACCAGTTTCCTTGTTCATGTACACTCAGAAATGTGGAAGGCAGCAGAGACTCACAGGTGGATATTGTGATCTTGAACAGGAAGAAAGGAGAAAATTCACAGCCTCATGAGATTTCAGGGGGTATTGCCATGGAAAGTGCAGAAAGGTCCTCTGGAATTAAGAGGGTGAGCTTTCTCTGCTGAGATGTGTAGAATGATTTGAAAATTACATGTAATGGGGGATTTGAAGCACCTTTCACACAGTAGTGGGGGGCACTGGAAAAAGGTGGAGAATTTCAAGGGAAATGTGACTTTCTGAGAAAGTCCTCCCAGAAATGAAGGGGATTTTGTCACCACAGATTATAGCAACTACATTTTGGAGCTTCTACCATGCAACTGTTGACTGGGAGATGTCAAGTGCTCATCCTCACCTTGTTTTCCTCTTCCCTGAATGAATGGGGACATCACCACTGCTGTCCACTCTCTCTCCACCCTGGCCCCAGTCTGCACATCTTGGGGCTTTGCTCTGCCTGTGTCCCCAGTAATGATGTTCATGTGCAGTTATCTTCACATGACAGCCCCAGAAGAGTATCCCCTTTCAGCCAGTATGGTTCAGGCAAAGCTGGCAGGATGTGAGATATCTTCCTGGTGAGTTTCCTAGTGATGGATAAATAATAATCATTGTCATGTAACCATGTGACTAATCACTGTGACTGCAAGTTATCTTCTATATATATAAAAGGCTAATATGCTAATTGTCCATCTAACCAGTGGCTATGATGCACACTGACCACCAGGGGACAGACGCTCAGTGCAGGAGTTGCTGTGATGCTCACTGGCCATTTACAGAGAAATGGCACCGCTGACCTGCCGCCCACAAAGCAACACTCGGCTTCCCCCAAGTGGACACAGTCCCTGCCACCACCCTGGAGCAACACCCCACCAAATTGCAGCCAATGCTGCTGAGACCCCATGGTGAAAAATGTGGCTCACAGCCCAGCCCAGCCCGGAAACAGTGGCTGTGGGCACCGAGTAATGATGTCACGTAGCAACACCCAGCTTCCTCTCCCTGGTGATAACTAACCTTCTTGCAGTTTCTTCAGCCCAGGAACACAACTTGCTTTACAGCCAGGTGCAAACATTTCACACTTTAACCAACTGTCTGTGAAGCATTTTCCTGTGCCTCATCTCATTTGATCCTCACAGAAGTCCTGGAGTAGGTAGGTAGGAGACTTGGTGGAATCCTATTTTCTTTTCATTAGCCAGAAAAGAGAGATTTAGAAAGCTTAGAAATGGACCCAACTGAAAAGAAGTAAGAAATGGCAGACCTTGAAAATGACTTCAGGTTTTTGTCACTGTGCAGACTATAGTCAAATACTGCTGCAGTTAAATATTTTACCCTTTGTTCTCCCTGAGTGATCTACAATAATAATCTGCTTCATGTTGATATTTACTGCTGTGTTGCTGGCAGTTATCTGAAAGAGAAGTTGGGGTGCTTCACTGGGCTGGGAAAAGTTTAGCTAAATTAGAAAATAGGTCTAATTAAGCAAGTTTATCTATATATATAAAGCTCTTGCCAATTGCACACATGTATTTCCATTTGTCATTGTCAATTGTGAATTTGGTTGACACTTCTATTATAGAGAAAGGGCGAATAGCAATATTAAAATATTTCTTCTAATTAATTTCCTTTCAATGTGCATGAATTCGTGCACCAGGCCACTAGTTTTCAAATAATTCCCATTGTTATGCTCAAATGCTTGATTAAACTGATGGTCTTGTTCAGGTGATTATTAGGGGTTGGTGTCTGAGGATGAGGCTGAGGGCAGAGAGAGTGGCAAGGGTGCCTTGTCAGTCACCCACAAAACCAGCTTGGACCTTGTGTTCCAAAGAGTCAATTTGAGCAGAGGAAGGTAGAAGATGGTAGGGGTGGTCAACAGGATGCCCCCTCCCAGGGCCCCAGATACCTGAGAGCCAAGTGAGAATTTGGAAAGGACCTGGACAGAGGAGGGCTTTAGGGTCCAGGGATGCAGGCTTGGAAGATGCTCAGCAATCCCAGGAGAGTTGGAACGAGGAACACCCACCAGATTCCATCTGAGCTGCCCTGGACTGGCCTGTGGAAGAACTCTGGGCAGATGCAGCAGGAGATGAGCTGGAACCCTTGGGACATCATGAAATGAGTGTCCTTGGGACAAGTGCCAGGACCAGAACCCTGTGGGGCACTGCAGGATGAAAGTAAGAACACCAAATGCCCATTCCTGGAGGGAACTGATTGGTGTGAGATAGTGCTCACACAAGGAGGCTATGGACCACAGGGCAGGGACAGCTTGAACATCCTGAGAATTTCCCAGGTTCTTCAGGGAGGACTTTTCAGGGTACAGAAACCTGTAACGTAGCCTCTGCAAACACACATCACCCAGTTGTCTGGCCAGTCCTGATGAAGTTGGGGCAGAGTACACAGGAGCTTTACTGCCTATCAGCAGGAATGTTCTGACATTTTTTAGATGCCCTGAGCCTGCCCTGTGAGTGGAGGTGTGATGAGTCTCAGCCATGGTCCTGCTCCCATAAGAAATCACCATTCCCCTGCCAGGACTATAGCCTGCTCTGAACTCCAGCCTCCTGAGCAAGGTGCTGACTTCCTGCCTGGCTCTCACCTAACCTCCTCTGCAGGAACTATGTGCGGCAGCTGTCCTGGGAGAGTAATTGGTCCCAGCTCTTAGCCTGTCTTTGGTCCCTTTGCTGGGATTTGGCATAAGGATAGGGGTGGGCTCATGGCAGGGTGGCAGGATGTAGTGTGTGACACCAGTGGGTATCCACAAGGCAGAATCAGGCAAAGCCATGTTTGCCCAGCACCAGAGATCCTATCCAAAAGGGTCCCATAGACACCTCCTTGTGGATGCAAGAGAGTATAGTCCCTGTGGGTACTGTGCAGGAGACTGCTGACCTGCCATGTGCCTGACCTCCAGCCTGCCCAGAGGTGTGAGCCACAGGACAACTTTGCTTTCCTTGAAATCACAGCAAATTTGAAGCAGTGCGGTACAAATACTTCTGGAAAATTGGGTATGTGAGGCCTTGGTTAAGTCCTATTATTGTCATATATCCTCATGGACAGGGCTGTATGTTCTCCTTGGCAATTTGGTTTGTCAGAGCAAAAGAATACATGGACAATTTGTTGTGTATTCGTGTACTATTCCCTAGGCCAGTGGTCGGCAAACTGCTGCTCAACAAACCGTGGCTTTCGAGCCACATGCGGCTCTTTGGCCTCTTGAGTGTGGCTCTTCCACAAAATACCAACTTCTGCGCATGGGCCACGAAGTTTCAATTGCACTGTACATGCATGCCCGCACGTGGTATTTTATGGAAGAGCCACACTCAAGGGGCCAAAGAGCAGCATGTGGCTCGTGAGCCGCAGTTTGCCGACCACTGGCCTAGGCTAAACAGTACCCCCTGACGTGGTCATCTCTGGGCCCACTGTGGTCCTTCAGAGCAGAGGGTTCAGCTGTGTGACTCCTTGTAACCTCACCAAAGTAGTACCTGCCATCAAGGCTCTGGAGACACTGACAGCTTGCCTGGTCTCTGTGAAACTCTTGAAAGGGCAACAATGCCTATTATTCAAGTGTCTTATCAGACAAACAATTTTACTCCTTATTGCCTTTTTGGGGTGAGTCTGACGGTAATTAAGATGGCACTGGCCACTGTCAAGTACCTCTTTCTAGCTGCGTGTGGGTTGCAAGTTCAGCCAGACCCCCCAGTTGCATCTTTACTCCTACATCCTTACTAGCTGGGTGGCTCAGGGCACATTCTACAAGCTTTTCTGTGCCTCAGCATTCTCTCCTGTATTTAAATGTTCATTGGGAACCTCCTAAGGGTTGGATGACTCTGCCTGAAGGA